TGGCGGAGCAATTTATACCTATTTTGGCGGACTTTTTATTTACCGGTAACGGCATGAGGACAACGGAGGAAGCCTTGAAAACCATTTATCAAGAATGAAAAATACATCGTGTCCCCCTCCTGCTTCTTCCTAAAATGAGCAAAGAAAAAAGGGCTTTCTTTTGCAAAAAGGAAAGATACACTCAATCTACTTCTCGTCTAAACTGGTGGGAAAGCCTCACTTTTTACTTCCTGGTAGGCAGCCACGTCAAGCGAGGTACCAGGTGCGTGCATCTCATGGAGCGTGCGCATCGACACAAATGTCTACAGGGGAAACCCGGCCGGTGTGCTCTGAAAATGGGAGGGAATAAAATGCACAGCAAAACAAAATATGCGAAGATGAACTCAGGGTGTTTTGACGGGGTTTTTGCTGAACGTCATAGCAAACGATTCTGTCCTTATCCACTTATTTGCTGAGGGCTCACATGGAGAAACAATTATGTGCGCCACTTCCTGTAAGACGCTGGAAGAAGAATTTTGGTATTTGTTCCGAGTTTTGTTTTTCGGAGCGGTTTATTTTTGTATGCCCCCCCGCCATTCGCCCACTTTTCGAAACAATCACCAGCTCCCCATCGCATTGAAAAATGGGCTTGGGAACTTGTTGGGCTCTCGGCGGTTGTACGAACAAGCAGAAGACGTTGACATTTGTGACAACAAGAAACAATGTTTTGTTTTTTTTTCCAATTGGAATTTCCAAATGGATTGAACGACCCAAGACCAAGTTGTTGACTTGAAAACGGCAGACAAAAATGTAGACACAGCTGTTCTCAAAATTGATGAAGCACTCGTATCAACTTGCTCGGAACATTGCACAGGCGAAGGAGCCATACAGGAGTTCGTCAAAACGTGCAGAAGAAAGCTTCCCCTGGTGAAAGAGAAGACAACCAAACAACAACAACGCTAAAAACTCTCATGGACACACAACACTTCTTTGCGGGTGCGCTTGTGCATGTGTCTGGTATGACAAACATTCCCTGAAACCTTGGAAGCGTTCCCTTGCATGATGTTCTGCATTTTCCATTTCACGCTTGAGTGTACATACCATTCCCTGCCTGTCATGTAATTCAAACTATTTGACGCCGCGCTACCAGTTTACTCGTAATGTCAACGTTGGGCCTTAAGGCACTTTCAGCTGCGGCGAGTTTGCGGGAGGTTTTCGAGAGGCCCCCTCGGCCTTGATGCGCCGACGGAAAAATGACTGCTTTCCGGACCCGCTGTTTAGACTGCTTTTTGGGGAAACGTAACCGCCAATCCAGTACGTACTAATGACAGGCGGTTAAAAAGTGCTGGGCGGGGCCTTGATTGACACGGCCCACTTTGTGACATAACAACTTTGCAACAGCTTTGACCCCAGAGTTAATTCCACGCACGCCGTACAGTTACCACAGTGAGACAACAACAAGGAATGGATAGAAGATACGCGGCAATTCAAGTTGCACGTTCGGCACGAGTACATTTTACAAACCGACTTCATGCATGCACCACAGTGATGGTGAAAGGGGTCATTAGGAGGCCTGATCTCGTGACCACAAAGTCCGCTCTTCATTACAGACACAGAATAGACGCACCATTTTTTCGACTCCTCCAACAAACAGTTACGCCAGCGTACAAAACAGATATTTTTAAAATCTCCCAAAACCCACATCTATGTCCCCATGAACCCTTTGGCTGGCTCCCAAGAGCTTGCGATCTTATCAGAAACTCTTTTTCAAAAACTTGGACCTGGAATATCCATTTGCAATTTTCAAAACTTTTCCAGGTTTTTCATGTCTACACGAACGCTGACAGCAACAATGATGGCATCCTCACCAGACATTGTCGTCGTTTCCTTGCAGGTAGTCATTGATGCAGTTGACCAGGTAGCTGAAAAGACGTCCGTAGATGGTCTTGGCCAGTTGGTCCCTGTACTGCTGGGCCATGTCCACCGTGTGCCGTCGAGTGATCACGTCACCTGACAGGAAACGGAGCGCCTCTTTAAAATATGATCGATGACACTACAATCTACTCCTCAGATTAAATGTGGCCTTTAAACGGTCCAAGGCGGTACCTTTGAAGTACTGAACATCTGAGGTGAGGGCGCTGCTTAAGTCACTGCAACACACTTGCAGCATTCCAGCCACTGTGGATGCAAAACACATGAAGAACGTAGTAGATGTTTACGTACAGTCTAAATCTCGGTTCATGTGTCCCGAGACCCCGTTTGCAATATTCACCAAAAGAATATACATATTTTTATGTTTAAAAAAAAAACATTAGCCGAATAGCTGTGTTGCATAAGTCATAACTGAACATAAAACAATTAAAAAACAGTTAAAAATTTTTTTTTGATTTGGTAACAGCAAGTTAAAAATGACATGAGAAATTATGCTTTTAGCCATGAGTAACATTGAAAACATACTTATGTCCCTCTTTTGAAATTATACTACTTTTTTTTGTCAAAAATATACAACTTAGTTTTCATAATTTGTGACCTTTGTCCCAAAACATGTTTACTTAAAAAAAAAAATTATATATATATATCATGTTTTTAATCTCCAAAATGCATATGTTTTTTTTTCCCTCCAAAGTATCCAACTTAATTATTTTTAAGAGGAATTAACATTTAATTTTTTTGTTTTGTTTTGTTTTTTCAGGTTGGCCCCAATACTTGTTGGCAAGAAACAAACAAACAACATCAGCTAATTTAAACATAGGGTATTTATTTGACTTTTTTTTTTCAGTTATTGGCATTAATGCACTCAAAGATCTTTATAAATGATAAAGATGAGCCTGACTGGAGATAGTGCCGTGTGTGACATCATGATGACCTCATAAGCCTGGCTCTTGCCAAATTGATCAGTGGCAGGAAGAATCATGAGGGGATTTCTCAGCAGAACCCAAAATAAAGAAAACGGTCAAAGCAAGCCAGAATTTCTTTGCTGACCTCATATGTCCCTGACATCAGCCCGCTTACCCGCTTTGGCCATGATGTCATTTGTTTATCGCTGCTCGGGGGCTGCCGTAGCACACGTTCAAAGCTACTAAATAAATACGACTCAGGGTGAGAAGAAAAGTATTCAATCAAGCGTGAGTGTGTTTACATGCGTGATCTACCGTCACCGTGGTTACCACGCAAGAGTCTGGAACCCGGCACGTGCTGGCAAGCTGCCAAGAGCGACTTTGGGGTGACGACAATGAGGAGCGGAGGAGAAGGGACGACGTGGTAAATAAGATGGGTGCGTTTGAAGCTCCGTGGATGAAATGGGACCCCGATCATATGCTGGGGTGCGTGTGCATACTGACCTCTCTCAAGCAGCTGCAGGTCAGAGGGGAAGGCGCTCTCGCCGTCTGTCAGCGCAGTGAAACGCAGATCCCCAATATGGAGCACGGCGGAGAGCAACATGAACACGGAATCCACTTCCTGGTTGACACACAGACAATGGACCAAGTCATGTCCACTTTTTGCTTTGAAAGGGGACAAATGAGGAAAGACGACTTTTAATTGTTTATACAGTTCTATAGTTTGTGTCGTTAGCCTTGATTGAATATCTCATTCTATCTGAAGCAACCCTGTTAAGGATCTGATGAGAATAAGACAATTCTTTGGAAAAATGTTCTTTACTTATTGACATGAGTCAATTTGCCAGCTTCTACTCATGAGACAAAGCTAACATTCATCCGGATTTGCTACCCTGTTACTGTGATTACAGTGACGGGCAGTGTAAACAGCAAATAAATCATGTCATGAAAATTGGAGCACTGATCTAAGCTGAGCTAATCAAGCCTTTGATGGTTTATAACCTCCAATTGATGAATATGAAGCAGAAAACCTGAAAAGTGAAGGTCTATTTTTCAAAAATTTTAGAAGCCAAAATTTCCTCCATTTCTGGAACGATCCCGCCATAACATTGACAAATAAACTTTCAAAGTCGTTTCACTTTATGTAATCAATAAGATGACATTTGCTATTATATGAGTTGAGTTGAGCATTTTGGTGTTTACAGACACCAATGTTTAATTGTCTTTTGTTTCATGAGTCAATTTTATGTCAAACTTCAACTTTTCCTCCTCTTTGGAGAACTTTCTTTGCGAGACAGTGAGAGCTGGGGCCTAAGAATACTTGAAAAAGTGTGTTTTAAATTTGTTTCAAGCATGTGGAAGGATTTTTTTTAATGGTCTGCCTATAGGGCAGATTATAACCTATTGCAGGTGGATCTGGACCATATCCCCGGTATATACAAACAGTCTCTGGAGTGCTTGCTCAGCCAACTATTGTGTAATTAAACAACCAAGTACATACTTATTTTGAAATCTGTCAAAATCTAAGTGAGACGTTCATTGTGTAGGGAGATATTGGCACACAGTACTGCTCTGGAGGAAATCTCGGGCAATAAAATGCTTAGTTTGACTTGATATGAGTTTGATATTTTTATACCGTCTTTATTTGCCATCAAATGTGAAAGGGTTTTATTGGTGAACTCGTTTTACACATATTCAGTGTTTAAATGGACTCAAAAGATTGCTGGGACAGTTTACCGATGAATGAATATGGCCCTGAAAATGATTATTTCAATTTCCATTCTTTCCTACGGGAAAAAAAAAAGCAACACGTTCAACCTTAGAGATATTATTATCACGCTAGGACAACAAAACACATATTATAGTTATTCAGGTGTAAACAAATATGTTCTAAATGACAGCGAGTCACTCGTACATAGTGGAGTGTTTGGATTTTTATGGGGTCACAACAGTGTGTTGTAAAGAGAGAAAAAAACAACAAAAACAGATGCCATTTAGGAAGACCCTCACCGCTTCCTCTCTCCATTCACACTCGCATTCCTCTTCCACCATTCTGCTCTACTCTACCTCTCGGCACTTGAGTAGAGAACGCTCCATGGAATATCCCATTAGCCAGTGCCCACTCGCAGAGGGTGGGTGGGGGTATGGTGCACAAGTTTGCGGTTGCGCGCGTGTGCATATAAGCATTAGTCTGGTCGGAGGATTTTAGTGACACCAGTATAAATACCTGCGTTTAAATCTATTTAAAAAAAAAAAGAAATAAAATTGTGCTTAAAAGAAAAATAATACACTTAATTTGGAACTGTCGGAAATGTTACTATTTGCCAATGTGTTTATTGCTGTTGTTGTAGTTTGCATTTATGTAAAATGGCATTCCATCATACAGAGAGCTGTATTTAATATCTTGGGTTCGGTTCCTCAAAATAATCAGGGTAATCCAAATATTAGAAAGCGAACGCTGTTTGCTGCAGTTCAAACAAGTTGAAAATACCATTTTTGCTCTCGTTTTTATATTGGAGCTCATTGTGACAGGTGTTCCGAATAATGAACAGGGACTTCGTGTTTTTGCAAGTTTAACACAGTACTTTAGATTAGAAAGACCACTTGATCGTGAAGCTCATGTCTGTCACTAACCTTAACATTAAAACGGCTTCAAAAGACGCGCCAGTCGATACCTGCTTGTTGAAGCCCACAGCTTGAAAGGCTTTCTTGACAGCGCCGAGACGCTCCCTGCTCGCTGTCGACGCTGCAGCCACAGGAGGGCTCCCCGCCGGAAGTCCTCCACGAAGATACCTTCACAAAAAACAAGTGTGCCACTGAAAATGGGAGAGAAATACTCCGTTTGATATCATTACGAAGTGATGAGAGAACACACCTATGAGCCAAGACGTTACTGAGGTTAAGTGCGCTCTTCTCCTCGGGTGACAAGCCCTCATCCATCAGATAGAAGATGTTGAAGCTTCGTTGCTGAAGAGGACACTGGACCACACGAGACCTCTCCAGCATGTACGTGTACACACGCGCTACAACATCAACACAGATTCACACGAATAACAGTCTTAAGTCAAATTATTAGTGTTAGCCGCTGATAAATTCCAGTTCTAATTGGTACAAACTAACTGGGAGGAAAGTCAGGCAAGCGGTGCTGAAAATATGAGTCTTTACTCCCCCCTGCTGGAGCTTGACGTCATTGCACACATTTAAAGCACGCGTGGGTGGGGAAACAGGCAGACTTTTTTTTTTTTTTTTACAATTATAATACTACAGTATAGATTTATTTATCATAATTTAATCATTGATTCACAAAAGCCCAGAGTGAAGCAGCAAAAATGGTGAACAGAACATGTTTTCGTCACCTTTTGTACATTGCACTTATATACTATTTTGTCAAAAATAAAATGAAAATATTTAAATTATGTTTAGCACGCAGATTTAGCGACAGTATAGAAGCGCCTTAAAAAGTCAGGAATAATTTCTCGATTTCGGACGCTTTGACTGTTTTGTAGTTAAATAACAGAATGTAAAGATTAAACGATGAAAATAGTACAGTCGAAGAATCTCTCAGTATATTGCAGGACAAACAACAACCACAATAATTAACAATAAATACAAGTGTTGAAAACAAAACAACAACAACTGGCATTATTTCTTTGTAAGAGTAGAATTTTTGATGGAGGATCTCATTCAAATGTTTAGCAATCGTATAGAATTTTCAACAAAAACATTTTACTCCACAATATATCTCAATAAACACTACCTGTCGATAAAAGACAGACTGTCACTTTTTTTTGCAATTCAGCCAAGCTCTCAACAAAATTGAGGGGTGAAGCTAAATTCGGATTTTTAAAAGTTGTGTTCATTACCTCTGAGCATCCTCCTCCCCTTCTCACAGTACTGGATGGTCAAAAGTTTGATAAAGCGACTGGAGTTGCTGTTCCTCTCCGTCTTTGCGTGCCCGAAAGCCTCCAGAAGACAATTCACCTGCATCATTCAAAAGAAAATGTGACATTATAAATCTATGCTTCTCCATGTTTTACTCCCTACCACCAGGTGTCAGTGTACATCTATATACTGTCGTGTATATCGAGTCAAGTGCAGTGTTGTGTAGAATGCCAAGTTGTCCCTAGATGATAAGCACACTGACCCAGATATCGCCTGCGTGCATGGGGATGACTTCACAGCGCTTGTTCTCACGAGCTAGACGCTTTGCTAGCCAGCAGGGAGACGCAGAGGCAAGAGCTGAGCAGGATTTAAAAGCGGCAAATATGTCGTGACACCACTACCAAAGGGAATTACTACAAAACTCAGTATTAGTGAGCACCCCAGGATTGAAATGGAGATTTTCGTTTATTGCATGAGTGGAATACTTGCTTATTGTGAATGAACCCTTCAGTCAACATTGTGGCTGATGGTTTTCTTGTCCTCAACAAGTACCACTATCATAACAAACTGTGAAGGTCAATTTGTTTATTTTGTTTTGTTTTGGTGGCCCAGTGATGACCTGACGTGATTCTGTTGCCAGATCCAAACTTACGTGTTCCATTCTGGGTTCCAGTGCGAAGCCTTTGGGGCTGGATCTGGCTGTCAGGTGTCGCACGATGTGCTTACCGGCCTCCGTTTTCCCCGAACCGCTTTCACCGCTAAAAGACACAAAAAGGAAAATGTCGGACAATGAATTGCAATGCATACCACACGGTCCAATTCGTGGCTGTTGATGATATTTGTAAGTAATTTGTTTTATTTCCATACAGAGTAAAACCTGTAAAGTGACTTCCGGGATTTGTTTCTAAATACGTTAGACATGTTTGAAGCTGATTGCTGAACATGTACAAAAGCAAAACACGCCGGTTTGTTATGTTTGTTATAATATTCTCAATAACCTCTTAGTCAAATCGGTTTTCAGTGTAAAATAAAAAATGCTGTACATTTCTCAAAAGAGTACGTAGGTGTAATGTTAGTCATCACAATATTTTTTCATGTGTGTCATCACATTCAGCATGACGTCATCCAACCCATCCCTCAGACCATCCACATTAAAAACACCATCCCATATCTCCTACTCCCCCTAATTATCGTATACCCTGCTTCAGTGCTCAGCACAGCCCACATACTGTTACTGCCCTGGTGTTTCCACTACCGGAGGCCTGTTGTACTACATAAAGTACGGCTGCAGTCCATGTCGTGAAGCTTCCACCCACAGCAGCGGCAGATGGCCGCAGAAGGTCAGAAGGCCTCCCTAATGGCCACAGTGTGTTGCTCACTTTGTCAGAGTGTATTTCCTGCACAGAGATCCGCTGAGTGTGAGGTCCAAAGGCTTTCTTCCCGCCGTCTTTTCTTTGAACAGTTATTAGACTTCAAGGGCGTTTGGTTAGTGAGTTGGCCTCTGGGATTATGGCTGTTGATTGAATGTCTGTAAACATGGAGGGGGCGTGCAGGGCCACCGACATGCAGCTTTGGGGTGGCCAATTGCAGTTTCAAATCTTGGGGATGGGGAGATATTTTGGTTCATCGCTTTGGATGAGATTATGGAAGATAGATTTTAAGGTTCAGTTTATATTGGTTACTGGTGACAGGTAAGAAAATCGCATTCTGTCAATGAAGGATGAAAAGAACAATTACCTACTTGTGCTAATCCACCTATGAAGAAATAACGCTCAGGGCTTGATTGGTGCACCTATGCCGTGGAAGAAACGCTGCCATATTGTGTTTTGGGGATCATTGCATTCCTCGCCACGTCTTTGTAAATTAAGCAGACCAATCTCTGCCAAAGCCGGGCGTTGCAGAGTTGCAAGGGTGTTTCCTTGGAGATGTGCCCGCCGGAGTGACAATGAGGTGGCAGAAAATTGTTTGAAGTCCATGCCTGCTCAGAACAAGTCTAAATACTGAAACATATTTTAAGACAACATCGAGGCTTTATAAGCCACCAAATGTATGCCTTGAATGGTTTGAAGGCCTGCACATATTTCCAAAAGCCAATTAAAATGTGCAACTGCTTGCTACACAAATCTAGGAAGCACAAAAAAAGACATACTACTGACTGCAATAGCCGGATAATTGCCCGTTTTTACAACTAATCTAACAAGAAAGGAGCCAATGCAATCTGTATTGGATCTCAGCGCTCTAGACGCAGTAACCCATAAATACCTCTTGAACGATTGTCACCGTTTTAGACAACAACGTGTATCTACCATCCTTTTGAAAAATGGTGAAGCAAAACCAGCAATCTCCTATTTAGTGCCGTGAAAAAGAAGCAAGATAAGCAAGAAGTGAGAAAAATAGTGAGCGTAAAAGGCAGGATGAGGAAAGGTCAAGGTCCTAGCATGCACGTGTGTGTGCAAGTGTGTGCGCATGAGCGAGATGGATAGCCTGTGGCCAGGGTGCATTAATTCACTGCCAGATTGGTTACAACTCAGCAGGAGTGCTACTGGAGGGTTGGAGCCAAGCGTAATTGCAATCAAGGAGCTGCCTCCGTCAGGCCAAGCGCAAAGCGCGTGACGCCGCAACACTCCGAACGCATAATCATCGGTATGTGAACACGAAACAGGCCCGCGGCTATTTATCTCTCAGGGGGATGTTTAACAGGTGTTGAAACAGAAGGGACAAACTTGATTATCTTTTGCTTTTTTTTTTTTTTTTGCAATGATTTCGCTTTGCTGACTTTTTGCCTCAGCGCAACTCGGGCGGTTCAGGTTGGGACACGCACCTTAAGATGAAACATTGGGGTCGTCTCTCCTGGAGCATCATGTGGTAAGCTCTCTCCGTCGAGGAAAAGATATGAGGGGGCAGAGAGGAGCATAGGCGGCCCGTGGAGCTCAGGTACAACTGACTCACCTGACGGAGACAAACAAGCACAAGCCATGACTTGTTAGCTTGCAAAGTTACAGAACCGGGCCGGTCGTTCACACCTTGTTGGCGATCGTACGAACACAGCAAGAAAGATGACACCCTTGCAGAGTTTCATTGCTTCTCTGCACGAAGTCGGCGACAATTCACCCGAAACTGATTAACATGTTAGAATGGTGGTAATAGGCCAACGGCGTTTCTGCCCATGCGGGCTTTAAATGTAGAGTGACCGTATTTGGGGTTTCAAAAAAGAGAGGAGAACATCAAACCCCCAAATCCCCTCCAGATGTTATGCACTACTGTAAACAGGTTACCTGATGCGAAGGAATTCACTGCGGATGAATCTTTCCTGGTCCATTGTAAGGTTGGAACACAGGGGAAGGCAAAATCAGTGCTAGTTTTTAACCCATTTCTTATAACACAGCTCTTGTCCTCGGCGTTCACTGTCCATACATCAAAGAATTGCCAGTTTGTGTTTTTTTTTTGTTCTGATTTTGATGAAGCCAACTAGTCAGCGGTGCTGCCTGTCAACGACTGACATGTTGACGAACAAACGCAACTACATGCTCTGTTCTGTCAAAGTCTGGCTCATGCCTGCATGGGGAGTGAATGAGATGCCAGTCACGGTCATCTCTACATTCACAAAACATCCAGGGAGTTCGCACCTCAATAGCAGAATGGTCCATGGATTACTGTAGGACCCCAAGGAAACCAAAGGTTCAAGAAAAGTGGTCCAAAACCTAATGGTTACATTTTGTGAAACCTTGTACAAGAGAAGACTGTCCAGGCAATGTTATAAGTAGCAATATAATTATACAAGAAATGAAAGTAGAAATGAATAAAACATGGAGCAAACCTTCCTTTGATGGTGTGGCTTTTAATCACGGTGTGAAAGCGGATATACAAAAGGCCAAAGAAAATGTGATAAATACGAGATAGGACGGCAAGGGAGGAGCGCTGTCGTATCCCATCTGACACCGTCCTTTATTAGGTTCTGGTGTCTAAAGCTGTTGTTTGTTTGATCAGTGGCTGACTTTAGAAATGTCGGCAGGCAGAAAAATCGTCGTCACGGCGCAACGAAAGAATACGAGGTTCAAATTTTGGCTGGATGTCCGGTTCGCGGTCTGAGCAGGTTGCAGGCCACCTGAAATAAGAGGGTGACAGACAGCCAGCAGACTGCGGATGTTGTCACATATGTCCTCCTCGCACCTCCCAGAGGGACGGAGCTTGGCAGGAGAACATGTCTTCTCCGATCAAGTCCAAATCCTCCAAATGTGCCATTTGGAATAAAGTGCATATTGCGTCATTTACTCGGGAGTTGCGAACGGCTCCAGCCCTGATTTCTTGATGCACGGTCAGCCTTACGCTGTGCATTGCTGACAGGAAGAATGCATTATTTATCAACCGCAAAGTCCATTTCACATCTTTATGTCTCTCTCCTAGGCAGCCATTATTGTGTATCTTTTAATGTGCATGACAAAGACAACCCCACGTAGAAGCATTTTGACAGTTTCGGGTAAATTCAAGTTCTGATTTTGATGAAGCCAACTAGTCAGCGGTGCTGCCTGTCAACGACTGACATGTTGACGAACAAACGCAACTACATGCTCTGTTCTGTCAAAGTCTGGCTCATGCCTGCATGGGGAGTGAATGAGATGCCAGTCACGGTCATCTCTACATTCACAAAACATCCAGGGAGTTCGCACCTCAATAGCAGAATGGTCCATGGATTACTGTAGGACCCCAAGGAAACCAAAGGTTCAAGAAAAGTGGTCCAAAACCTAATGGTTACATTTTGTGAAACCTTGTACAAGAGAAGACTGTCCAGGCAATGTTATAAGTAGCAATATAATTATACAAGAAATGAAAGTAGAAATGAATAAAACATGGAGCAAACCTTCCTTTGATGGTGTGGCTTTTAATCACGGTGTGAAAGCGGATATACAAAAGGCCAAAGAAAATGTGATAAATACGAGATAGGACGGCAAGGGAGGAGCGCTGTCGTATCCCATCTGACACCGTCCTTTATTAGGTTCTGGTGTCTAAAGCTGTTGTTTGTTTGATCAGTGGCTGACTTTAGAAATGTCGGCAGGCAGAAAAATCGTCGTCACGGCGCAACGAAAGAATACGAGGTTCAAATTTTGGCTGGATGTCCGGTTCGCGGTCTGAGCAGGTTGCAGGCCACCTGAAATAAGAGGGTGACAGACAGCCAGCAGACTGCGGATGTTGTCACATATGTCCTCCTCGCACCTCCCAGAGGGACGGAGCTTGGCAGGAGAACATGTCTTCTCCGATCAAGTCCAAATCCTCCAAATGTGCCATTTGGAATAAAGTGCATATTGCGTCATTTACTCGGGAGTTGCGAACGGCTCCAGCCCTGATTTCTTGATGCACGGTCAGCCTTACGCTGTGCATTGCTGACAGGAAGAATGCATTATTTATCAACCGCAAAGTCCATTTCACATCTTTATGTCTCTCTCCTAGGCAGCCATTATTGTGTATCTTTTAATGTGCATGACAAAGACAACCCCACGTAGAAGCATTTTGACAGTTTCGGGTAAATTCAAGGACAATTGATGTAATTAAAATGTAAAGTGAATTGCAAATTAACTGAATTGCAACACTGTCATATTTTTTTTTTTTTTTTATGTACTGCATGTGTGCAGGTCCAGCGATTGCTAAAGGGGGTGTACTGTGCCTGTTACCCTCAAGCTAGGATAGGCTACAGTTCACCCGTGACTCTAATCAGGATTCCTGATCCCAAAAATTTACATTATGTATGTACTGTATGTTGCATCCATATAGTTTTATGGTCAACAAAACAATCCACTGTTATAATTTATACAGTAGGCTACTATTTTATATGACGAGACGAGCATCAGACACTCAAATGTTATCCAAACCAGTCATGCAAAAGAAAAGTCTTGTTTAATCAGTGCCAGCTATTTTCAGACTCTTGCTTACCTTACCACGTGAAAAAACACAAATACATACCTGGGGTTGAATGGCTGGATTCTTCAAAAAATAAAATAAAATAAAAATACATAAAGACATACCTGGGGTTGAATGCCTAGATTCTACAAAAAAATTTAAAAAAAAAAAAAAAAAAAAAAGAAGGAAAACCAGGTCCTTGCCAGTGAATGACTGAATATTAAACAGACAGATGAGGGTCAGAAAGCGCATTGCATTCTGGTTGTTGAAGTCTTTCACCTTTTTGTGGGGGGGTATTTTGTTAAGTCAGTTGAAGAGCACATCAAATCGTCTTTGCTGTCTGATAGCATAGTCCTAGAGGTTTGTTGAATGCTTACCAAAGTGGAGTAGATAGGCAGCTCTTTGTTTGGGTTGACCAGCAAAAGAATGTGTCCAATATAAGTCTGCAGAGAGCCAAAAAAACAACAACAAAAAAAATCTTTGTTTATTGGGGTTTTTTTTTTTTGTAATTGGGGTTAAACAGTTGTACACTGAGCAGAACGCGACCTTAGAAATGACCACGTGCTGCTAAAATACATCATTTGCACCCCCCTACGCAGTGCTCACTTACTCTTGGGAGGTCATTTGGAAAAGTAGAGCACAATTGGTGCCCTCAGAAGTTAGGCATTAACCTCCGGTCTCTTCACAAAGAGTCCCAAAGGAGCCTTTGAAAACTGAAAGCGTGCATTGGCCTTGCTGGTTCAAGGTTGATGACCTGAACGTATTTTACGAGGTTGACCAGTGTGTCCAAGAGGGTAAACATCTTTCTGTAACGCATGAGTGAACAATCCATCTATGGTTTAATGATGGTTGTCCGCAGCTTCAATTGATGCTCCCTTTCCTTCGTTGCTGGCAGCAGGTGAAAGAACCCTCATCAAAAGTTGTCATCCCTGACCACCCACCCCTGCTGGGAGCATATGGAGCCATCGCAGTCTTTGTCCTCATTTTATCACAATCCCAAGCGCTCTTTTGAGATTATTGGATAGGCTCGATTTAAAGGAAGTACATGTATATTGCTTTTTTTTCAATTTCAATTTCTCATCCACTGGTTTGTTGATGTATAATTTATAGACCATACATATCATAATAATGTTTCACAGTAATGCTTACTGTGTATTAAAAATTAAAATGTATCATCGAGAGAAGGCGGACAGCCGCATGAACTGGATCGCTGCTACTGGCTGTTTTTAATAGCACCGCGATTATTTCCTGAAATGTAATTTATGAAATACAACAAAGGCAAATTGATTAGATATCATCTTCATTTCGAAAAGCAAATCAACATTTGCAAACAAGGCTAACCGGAGTGTGTTTACTTGACACAACCGGATCACACATTGTGTGAGTGTGTCCTTTGTCCCTGAAGGTGAAATTGCACTCGATTGCATCAAGTGTGCGGCGACATCGCCGTGATTGCAACGTTTTACCCCGCGTAATTCTTCTGTCTTGACAGTCATTTCTATTTTCTTCCTCAAGCCACTTGATTCCCTGCAATTGTGCACCCCCCCCCTGCTGTGGACCACCTCATCACACATATGGGCCTCCACGTTAACGCATACTCAGCATGTGCTGTGTCGGTCTAAGTTTTGCTTTCAAGCGTGGTTTCCCAATGGCTAAATACAGGCAGAGGACAAGGGAATTGCATTCATTTAAAATGGGGGCAATTGTGGAAGATGGAGGCAATTCAGCCCTGAATGCATCCATTGATTTTTTTTTTCCCCCCCTATCGATTTAATTGAGATTGATTTTCTTTCATTGTCACTGATGCAGACTCGTGTGGTTTATTTTATAGCAGTGGCAGACAGCGGTGTTGTCAAGAAGCGGAACAAAGTGTGTGGCGCTTAAACTTGAAAACCTGGGTGAATAAAGGGGCCCGTTTTATGAGGGAGATCTGCATAATCCAAGGCAGAGACTTACATATATTTGGTCGTTGCCAAAACGCTTCTGCATCTCGTAGAGGAGGCTGCTGTCTGTCAGTTCGCTAAGGGATGCAAGGTCATCGTTAGGTGCTGGGGGCATCAGCTTCACCTGAGGAGAAACACACAGTGAGAACTGGAAAAAATAAATTGTCAGTTCCACGTGAACCACTTTTAGCCAACACCATCACGGATTGTTAAAAACATAAATAAAATAGAGTCTCTAAATGGCAATTTTCACCTATTGTGGGGCTGGGTGTACACCCCAACATAGTACCATAATTCCTCCATTAAATGTGGTGTCCCAATTTACCACCGTGTCTCGTCTTAGATTGGATCGTGTCACAAGTGACCCTGTTCTGAGGACTCAGAGTGGCAAAAAAAGCAAATTGCCTGTTCCAGTTTGGTTGTTCCTAAACTGAAGGGGCCATCCAGGATGTTATCCAGCGAAGGCTGCCGGCTGAGCGCCCCACCCGCCTCTCGAAACATTGCCCACTTCTCCAGGAGGCTGTCCCGTTTCGCTATCGGGAGGCCCAGAGAGTTCCTGTGAGGTAAATAAAGGGTGTGAGGGTCCCATTTCAGAGCGAGGCAAGAGGCAGATGAAGGCGCTAAGTATTTAACCTACAATTTTTTGACAGGGGTGTTGAGGTCATGTGATCCGCCGTCACAGTGTTGGTCCGTGGAGAGCAGAGGGGTGCGGGGGTCCTTCAGCTTTTGCGGCCAGCGGGTCTCTCCACTCAGCAGTAAGTCAGCTATGTGCTCTGATGCAGCAATGTCTGAGGACAATTGAGGCAAAATCCAAATCAAGAGACATTCAAGGATGCGACGGGTGATGAACGGAAGACTCAAGAAGAGGGGGTTGTGACAAATACGTTCTGGGCGTATGTAGCGTCTATGGATCTGTTAAACACGACATAGGCCCTTGTGGGTTTTGTGGAGCTCCCTTTGCAGTATGAGACTTTCGTGGTTTCTGTTAGTCATCACACTTTGCTGCCATACTCTGCCTACATGCCATGATGAAAAACCTAATTACAGGGGAACCTCAGTTTGCTATGATCCTGACACGTGATATTTCGAGGGCTTGATATTATGTTATCGCCAGCGCGATCAGTATTTATGGCCTCTGGGCTCTTTTCATTCAAACATTTAGTCTAATTATGACATTTCAAGGTTACAAGCAGCATGCAACCAAGTAGTGTAAGAAAATGTCATTGTGCAAAAGAAGGCACCCCGCGTTCCTGCCGTAAAGATTTTTCATTTGATTGGGTGATGTTTATTACATTTATAATAATAATAATTTTTCAATTATTGCTCAGGTTACAATAAAAATGAGGTCGGTAACAAGAAAAAAGTGTTTGCAATACCTCAAAGTTATGATTCATTTCATAAGACAATTGGACGTTTAATGCAGATTTCTGCGAGAATCATAGACGCTGATGCACATGATTTGCTTTCACGGGCCACAAAAAATGATGTGGCAGGACAGATCTGACCCCTGGGCCTTGAGTTTGACACCGGTGCCCGAAAGCCTATTCACAATTAGTGTCACGTTTATGTAACGTATACGTATTTCTAATGTCCTAGTAATAAGACAAAATCTCAAGGACAGGTTTGTCTTTGAAAAACAACCAAACAGCCTGTGTTTTGGGCATGCCTACAAAATTTCACTTTCACATTCCATGCTTAAGTTGAACGATTTTACACTCAAGCATCACTTAGGGCTTTATCGGACACGCAGGATTCATTGGAGTTGACGACCCCCCGCGGACTCTCATCATTTATTTCCATTCGTCATGCAGAAGCTGAAGAATGGATGAAAGGCTCTCACGGGGAAAGATGGGGAGGAGGATCATGAAGGTCTCTGAAGGCTTATCTCGTGCGTGTTGTGAGCCCACCAGCTAGAGAGGGCAGCTATTGATTATGGCCAGAGTGATGCAGGCTCACAATAAATGGCCACCGGCAGACAATGTATTTGCTTTGACACGGTGGAAAGGTTAGAGCAGAGACCTTAAAGATATATATATATATATATATATATATATATATATATATATATAATAGCAAATAAGTCATATTTTTATGATTAGCGCTAACATCCAATGCAGACATTGTGCAGAGGTGAAAACAGACACGTGTAAGGTGTGAGGGACATTTTTCTACTCAATGACTAATTAGCTTTTTTTTGTCCGTTTAACATGAGCAGAATGATTGTTCAAACCATGTAAAAGCTGTGTGTGTGTGTGTGTGTGTGTGTGTGTGTGTGTGTGTGTGTGTGTGTGTGTGTGTGTGTGTGTGTTTGTTACCTGAGGGCTTATCTTGGTTGCAGTTCAACAATGTGGGGTTGGCTCCATGCTTCAGGAGTTGGCTAACGATGCTCGTCTGCGAGGGACGGAATGAAAAGATAATCACTAAAAGAAGTTTGTGATATTCACATGAATGACCCTGGATTTTTCTTTTCGGTCAAGGGCAGTGATCGATTATGAAAACAACTGGTACTGGAGTGAGTTGACTGCCAATTGATTTAATAGTCAATAAGCCGCTAATAGTTACTTCAACGGGGAAAAAAAAATCTGGAATGCTGAAAAAGAATTGTTTGTTGGAATAAGTGCAATCCACTGACTGTTTATTATATTGCCCTAGTTCATCCAATTGTTTTGCTGTGTTTTTTTTTTTCATTTTACTTGGTCATAATTAATTCCAGTCGAGCGCAGCCAATTTTGTTTCTTCCATTAACATTTTCCACTCAGATGCATCAAAATAATCACTAAAATTAATGGAAAATAATTTTAGCTTAAAGGGGACCTATTTTAAAATTTGTAATGGCTTGTAGACAAACAGTGAGTTCTCTGGAGAGTCCACCCACTTATCCAGTGCGGAATGAAACAACCAAGTAAACCTCTTATCTGACCATTTCCTGAAATGTGTCTGTGAACGAGCCTTTCTAATTTACATAATGACCTTCCACACCAATTTTTTCTGCCCATGACATCATCAGTTGAATTGAGTGAATATCCAGAGCCACTTTCAGGTGACGTGTCTGAAAGACAATCATGCAGAAACAATTCCCCCATGGGTGTGCAGCCCCCTGCTGTCATGTCAAAGCCAAAAGGTAAGCAGAGCTGCATTGCATATTGATTGCATGGTGAAGTTGTCGAGAATGGTATTTCTGCTTCGGTCATCAAGTGCTGTTATTATCTTTAGTGTCTTTATGCCCCCCCCCACACACACACACACACACACACACACACAATCCGGGCTATGCTCCTGAAGAAGCCAATCGAGACGATAAATTCAGGTTGTCAGGGTAATTAATTTTTTTGATCCTTAAAACAATCTTTCATCAAAATAATAACCAATGCAACACATTTTTTTGTGTGTATGTGACTCAGCACATTCACTGTAGCAGCTGTTCAAAAATGAGTCCAGAACACCTTCCAAGAGTCACACACTGTCAGCCGTGCTCACAACCTATAAATACGGACTTAGACGTCACTAACAAAGCAGGATCTCAACCTTCTGCAGTACCCACGAGGACAAGGAAAAGGTCATCTGGATCTTATGACCTCTACAAAGAGAATAATCATACTCCTAAAATCAATTGAACATTTGTAAGCTTAAAAGAAGTCAACTTTTAAGATAAAAAAAAAACATGGCTTCCTATTCCCAAATCTTTCACATGTGCCTTCATCATTAAATAAAATAAACGAATCCACACTCAGCAGAGACATGGTCTAAAAAATGTCATTGAAAGTCATTTTTAATCCCCTCGCATATACTGAAAGAATTTAAAAACTCTTTCCCCAGAGGGGTCACCGGTGCTCTCACTTATCTCAATGGAGGACGAGCGAAGTTTAATTAACTGCGGCAATAGGGTCATACGTCTTCTTAAAGTTGAGAGCGCGGAGCGTAGGCAACATTGCGCAGGGGGTCTTTGGGTTTTATGCCCCGGCTAGAGCTACACTTGGCCGTCAACGTTTCCAGGCAACCGTTTGTTATGATGGCCCCGCATCAGCCAAACGTACCTTTCTCTTTCTCGGCATGACTGCGGCAGCCATGATGTCACGTGGCACCAATAAGGACTCGATTTACTAAGACCTCAAATAGTGGCTGCTTAGTTGCGTGTTCCCTCAGAGATTGCGCATCGTTCAGGAGTTATAAAATTGCATGCTGAATCAATAAGATGTTGGGATAGTTGGTTTGGTTGGTTCTCCAGGGTGTAGGCCACCTCTTGCGCGAAGGCTCCAGCATACCCGCAAACCCGATGAGGATAAGCGGCATAGAAAATAGATGATTGGATTATCAGAGTGGAGGTGACTTTTAGATGAAGTACTGCATGCGACAGAATCCTGCGACTGGTTGATGACCAGCCCACGGTATATACTTCTCCCCAAAATCAACTGGGGTCGGCTCCAGCTCAAGCATGACTCCAATGAGTACTGTAGAAAATGGATGGATGGTACAGTAAAAAGTACAAAAGTTTGAAGATCAGAATCTTTTCAGTCTTTGACTGGTTGCATTTTACGAAGAAAATGTACCAATTTCTCTTTTGGCAAAGTCTACAATCTTGTCATTCATAATATGAAGGACAAAAATGTGCTTTTTTTGGGCAAGACGAAACTAAAGTTGGGAGTGATTCTAAATATGCATATATTCTCTTTGTCAGCAGACAAGCCCAAAGCGCAGAAAATGTAATTAGAAAAATCACGATGAGTGCGCAGTACTTCAATGTAATCCGCTGCTTCTACTTCATAGCATCAGATCAAATCAGCTTTCCTCCGCGACTTTGCAAAAATGTCCTCTCCTTCTTCAAGAGACCACGAAAAAGCTAATCTAAAATGCAATCCCGAATCCATAAGCGATGCAGCTGGAGGATCAATGGAGGCAAAGGGAGCCGTTTATCAGAAATTGTGCAGAGTGACTGCAGGCCAGTTCGTCACCGGGAACAATCCATCAATACTTCCCCCTATTACTCCAATGCCACTTGATCAATAGCACTTGCACAGCAAGGAATCTCATGCAAAAGTCCAGATTATTATATATATATATTTTTTACCTGTCCATATTTAGCAGCCAGATGAAGAGGTGTCCAAAAGTTGTGAGCCACAGGATGAGGATCTGCCCCGTTTTCTAATAGCACAGTCGCCACATCCCGATAGCCACTGGCACATGCAATGTGAAGCTTTTAAAAGGCCGGACAGGTTTAATGAGTTAGGTCCAAACAAGCCAAAACAAAAAAAGTAGACCGGATGCACGAAAGAGACTTACCAAGGTCACCCCCTCGTCATTGGGCTGATTGAGATCCGCCCCTGCGGCTACAAGCTGTCTAATATCGGATAGCATGCCGTTGGGCCTCTGTGTCCTCATGCTATGCGTAGAAGACACATCCACACCTGTCATACAAAAACAAGTAGACCTTTAAAAAAAAAAAAAAAAAAAAAAAAAAAATGCTCACGTGAATAAAGTAGTATCCAAACCATTCCGTCTTCATTAATCTCCGACAAACGGCGGAGATGAAAGACGTTTGCAGGGGGGGGTGAATAACAATCAGTGGACACCACACTCCTACTATACAACAGGAAATATCATGTGATTCCGACCAGCTGATCAGTGAGGAAAAGTAGAGTTAATGTCCTTCCCATGAGAACAGTAATTATTTTCAGACATCATCCATTGGTTTTATTCACTTATTTTTCTTTGTTTGTTTCAAGCTACATTCCGATCACACGGCTAACTCCAAATTTTTATTGTAACTAAATATAGCGTATAACTCGCGAGCAATTACATGAGATAGAAAGTACTGCGCATGGGTCGTTTTTGTTATAAAGCAAAGTTTCCATAGCAACAGAAGCCCAGCATGCCATGTGTTGCATGGTGGTTGTGGTGGTGGTGGGGGTTGCGAGGGTTTGGGGGCCCATTGCAGAGACGGACTTGGTTTGTGTGAGTGTGCGTGCGTGCACGTGTGCTTGTAGGTTGCACTTAACTCTTGAAGGGTTTGTGGTCTTGTCACGTGTAGCTTTATGGTTGGCCTACAGAGGATCATTACATGCTGTACATGTTTCTAACCACATTTAGCCCTTGAGGGTACAGTAGATGTAAAACAAAGCAAACAAACAAAAAAAAAGACTGCATTAAAGTCCTTAAAATGCTAACTAAAGCTGTCTGTAGATGCTAATCGCAATGCCCCATGAACTAAAATGTCTGCTGCTCAAGCATTCACTGTCATCATGAGTGCAATTTTGGCCAACGCGTTTTTGTTTTTTGGGGGGTTTTTGTGACAATTTTGACTGAAGTTATCAAACTGATTTTTTTTTTTTTTTTTTTAACACACAAACATGGGCTTGGTTATTCATGGGTGACAAAATAAAATGTCAGATATGTAAAATTATATTTCAATTACAGTTAATTCTCTGTGTATAGAAACGGGTTTATTTCATTCTGGTTACTTTTATTACATTTTTTTTACAATAAATCAAACAAAAATTGAAAAACATGCTCAACTAGACTCTTTCCCCACACAAAAATGAAGATGCGCTCGTTTTGTACGCCGAGTGCCCGTCGACCAAAATATGGCTCTCAATCTTTGTTGAATTTTTTTGTTTGTGTGGCGATGATACGATTAAGCTAATCAAGTATCACAGGACTCTTCATCATGTTAATCCTCAGTGGGCCGTTATTTTGCCCATGGGCCACACGCCGCCCACACCTGCTTTTGACTCTAAAATGTGCAAATGTGTCAGATTGGTGAATGTTTGCCCTTTTGTCTGAGGTGAAAAGCAAATAAAAGCAGCAGATGTCTTCTACCGTTTTCCTCCAGGTGTTTTTGCAGGATATAGCGGCTCTCGGTTCCCTCAGAGGCGTAGTCCAGGGGAACGTTCCCGTCGACGTCCTGCAGCAGAACGTTCACCCCACCCTTTCGCGGAACAAGAAACAACATGAGGTTAGTTTTAGCAGGCGACATTTGTCGGGATCAATTTTATGAAATTACCGGGGAACAGCTCAAATCAAAAAATGACTGGAGCGGTAATGGATTTGTTTTATTTGAACAAGAGTGATCCAATCCATGGGCTCACAAACGACATGATATAATCTCAACTTCACATTACGCGACATGCCATTGCACAGCCGAGCTGTCGCCGTGTTTGCCACGTGCCGGTGTTTGCCACGTGCCGGTCCTGTGGGTGAAGGAGCGGAAGCCGACAGAGCTGTCGTCATTGTGTTTTCCTTCCTTGGTATCGGATATGAAAAAGTGGTCTTGAGGCAGAGATATATAAAACATAAATATATTGTTAAACGTTTTTTTTTTTTTCCTGTGGGTGAAGGCTAACATAGCATTTATGCCCTGAATGTATGTTATCACCCAGTCGGGAATATTTGTTATGAGAAATGAGAATGGATGGATGGACTTTTTCATTGTTTTTCAATTTTACTTTCAATATTATTTTAGCTTATTTTGTACCATACTTGTACCGTAGTTAAGAATGTACACATGGAGTTTTCAAGTGGGTGATACTTGCACCCATTTGTCCTTCTATTATTTCCTGTATAAAAAAATTGGCATGAAATAAACAAAAAAAACAAAAACAACAAGCATCCTGAAGTGAATTCTGTTTGACCTTGGTAGTCGAACTGTATCTTCATTTTTAACTGAGAAGAGCTCACACAAGCTGAGGATCTCATTAAATATAAAAAATTCAGGGTTAATGTTAGGTTAGGTGAGAAGATGAATGTGTGTTTGTGTTTACGCGATAAGGATTAGACTGGAGTGATTTTCTAACACGCCCTCTCTTCGGGCGCCATTAACGACTCGCAATGTGGTTTTGATAAATTGCATCGCTTTGGTTGTCCTCATTAGCTATTAAACTAACGTAATATGCATGCATGCATGATGCAAAATGTGCACGTTATTTTCATGTTGAAGCAGTAAAAATAAAATACATTGTCACACACCGCCGCATGAATCGGTTGTTTGACAAGAACATTAAAAGGCAAGCGGAAGGAATGATCACCGCTGGACCGGGTCTGATCACGGTGATGGGTGGTGGGGGGAGGGAGGGTGG